AAAAAAAAAAAAAAAAAAAAAAAAAAAAAAAAAAAAAAAAAAAAAAAAAATATATATATATATATATATATATATATATATATATATATATATAATAAATAAATAAATAATTTGATGAAAGGCTAATTATTATTATTATTATTAGTATTACAGGCGAAGAATTGCTGTTGGCCAAGATTTGCCAATTCAGAGGGTGGCCTGATTTTATGTCCACCACCGCCTTCATCCACCACCGTTGATTCCCTCCGCCGCTCTTCCCCGTAGACACCCACAAATCTCCGCTTCCTCTGAATTTTCATCGAGTTTTAATCTCTTCGAACCCTAGCTCTCATCAATTCAACGATTCCAGAAAATCCCTGAATCCATCCTTGCCCGATCCATCGTTAATCATGGCGAACGAGCAAATGCCTCCCTCTCCATCGTCTTCCTCCTCCTCTGCTGCCTCTCCCTTGGGAAACTCCGTCATCCCAATAGTGAACAAGCTTCAGGACATTTTCGCTCAGTTGGGAAGCCAATCCACCATTGAGCTTCCTCAGGTTGCTGTTGTCGGTAGTCAGAGCAGTGGCAAGTCTAGCGTACTGGAAGCTCTCGTCGGTCGCGACTTCCTTCCGAGGGGTTCTGATATCTGCACGCGGCGGCCATTGGTGCTTCAGCTCTTGCAGACTAAGACTAGCGAGGAGTATGGGGAGTTCTTGCACCTACCCGGGAGGAAATTCTACGACTTCTCTGAAATTCGGAGGGAAATTCGTGTAAGGCTTGTGTTTCTGGCTCTTGTCTTTTTTAATTGTTTGAACTATTTGCGCATTTAGAGCATAAACATGGTGGTTTGTGAAGAGCGTTGGGAATGTTGGAATCTGAAATGTCCTTCATAACTTTCAAGTGCTCCCGAACTATTTGATATGTCAGGTAGATTGTTTCATTAGATTATAAACCAGAACATCTAATAAGAGAACGAAAATATAAACTTGAGTGGTACACTATTGCTGCATAAACTATAAAAGGATTCTGATTTCATATGACATTGAGAATTTTCCATTCAAGTTAAAGCAAGCTTCAAGCTAGTTTTGCTTACCTTCTGATTAGTTGATCAGAAAGTTGGGAAGAAATGTCTGGTGGGAGGAGGTTTCAGGATGGCAATACATCTCAATGAAAGCTCGGTTTCTCGTTTAAGAAAAAAAGTTCTTTTCGATGTCCACTCCTGTATTCTTACTGGCCATCCAAAAGGATACTGTATCCAAAACGCTTGTGCTTATGACCTTAGAAATGATGTTTGGAGCCTTTTTGGTAGACAAATACTTATAGCTAGTGAGCTTGTTGATTGGTTTCAATTCGCGGACTATATTTTGGCTTTCTATGGTAAGGAGTTCAACGTGTGGCTTCTTGTTCAATTCTGTCACATTTATTATTAAGATCATGTTCCAAGCACCTCACCACCTGGTAGAAGTAGCTCTCCTCCTTGCTTCTTGTAAAGTTCTTTAGGAATATTCTTTCCCAAAAAATGTTTAGGGAAAATGGCAATTGTTGCACAGTCTCAATTTTCATCATCTCTTAAAAGTAGTGGAGTGTTAGTTTCTCGTCATTTTCTTTTCTGCCCCTTCACAACCAAACTTTAGGAGAACATTTTCAGCATTTTTCCAGATAAATTTTCCCTTCCCCAATTCAACTTACTTGCTTGTGATGATGATATTATGCTTCCATGGATTCAAAAGCATAAGGGAAATTTGTAGAATTAAATGGTCAGAAGTTTGAATACCCAACACCCCACATGCTGATGAATTAAAAAAATGAGACCATTTCTATCTTGAAAAGGAAGCATGGGAGAATGAGTGCAAATTTCCTCCCACTTTTAGGACTGCATGGAAATTTTCCCTTGGGACTTACAAATGAACGAGTATCAAGTGAAAGAGTTAAATGATCTAGAGTCAAACATGGCTTTTCTATACAAACCCTTCAAATGATGGATAAAAAGCTGTAAAATCTCAAGGATTTTTGAGCAGATAACCCACTGCCATGCTAGGATGGTTATGTGTATGATTTATTATAGCTGGTTGAAAGAAGGCTCTTCAATCTTCAATGGATGTGGTTGGATAATCACTTAGATTTTTGTTTAACGAATTAGCGAGCAGTCCTATACTGAAGAGCTTTGTCTCTGCACTGTGAAAGTTCAATGACCCTGAAAGTTTGATATTCTGGTCCAGTTAGCTTTTAAGGAAGACTTAAGTTCAACTGAAACACTACAGAAAAGATGCCCTTACCTGGTTAGTAACCCATATTGTTGCACTTTCTGTCGTAGGTGTTAGTAGGAAAATTCGGAATACAAGGCTTCAGGAGGGCCTGGAAGTCTGATTTGGAAGCCAAACCAATAAAAAAGAAAAGAAAAGAAAAGAAAAGAAAAGAAAAATTGTTGCATATTGAGTAGTTGCTATGTGAGGAAAGAGTTTGCTTTTAAGGTCATTATTAATTTGCTTTTAGATCCTATACAGTTTTGTTACTCTCCTCTATTTATGATTAATGTCAATTGGAGAACCTAGTTGTATTCTTCTTCGGTCGATCTGATAGATGTCAATGCACTATTTCTCTTTCTTGCTATCTGCTGAAACCTGCAACATTATTTTGCATTAAAAGTATGTTGAAGCATATTCCAAGTTGCAACGTGCCCTTTTTTATGCTGTAGGCTGAGACTGATCGGGAGGCTGGAGGAAATAAAGGTGTCTCAGACAAGCAAATTCGTTTGAAGATCTTTTCACCTAATGTTCTTGATATTACTCTGGTTGATCTTCCTGGTATAACCAAAGTTCCAGTTGGAGATCAACCTTCTGATATTGAAGCTCGGATTCGTACAATGATTATGTCGTACATTAAAGTTCCAAGCTGTTTGATTCTTGCTGTTACACCTGCAAATTCAGATTTAGCTAACTCAGATGCTCTTCAGATCGCTGGAAATGCCGATCCTGATGGTAAGTTATTTCACAACATTTAGTCCATGAGTTAGTACTTTATCTCTTCTAACTCATGCATTTCATGTGTTCACAGGTGTTAGAACGATTGGGATAATCACAAAGGTGCTTCATGAGTTTACCAAGTATATATTTACTCTGTAGATGAAATCAGTTTCTGATGGTTCTCTTCCTTATAATTGCAGCTTGACATAATGGATAGAGGCACTGATGCACGTAACCTTTTGCATGGAAAAGTGATTCCGTTGCGACTTGGCTACTTTGGTGTTGTGAATCGAAGTCAGGAGGTAATTACAAACTCGACAAGGATGCAAACTCTTGTAAATGATGTTTACTTTTTAAAGCTTTGTTTTTCTTGTTACATGTTAGTAGTCAGTTGATGTTTACTTTTTAAAGCTTTGTTTTTCTTGTTACATGTTAGTAGTCAGTTTTGTCTGGGGATTTTTTTTTCTTTCCATTTTTGATCATGTATCTTTATCATATGTCTAACAAAACCAAGAAGGAACAATGATGATCACTGATGCTATTTCATTTTATGATCATTTATGATGCATGTTTTATTTCTGTCGCACTAGTTCTGATTGGGTTTGTTGATTTCATTTCTAAACCAGGATATTATACTCAACCGGAGTATTAAAGACGCACTTATAGCTGAGGAGAAATTTTTTCGCAGTCATCCAGTATGATTTGTGCTATACCCTTTTTATGCAATGGAGAAGGATTCTTGAACATATTTTAACTTACGGTTTTAGCTGTGACTCAGGTATATGATGGTCTGGCTGATCGCTGTGGTGTTCCTCAATTAGCAAAGAAGTTAAACCAGGTATTAAATTGGAATTTAGATGTGTGGCTATAATTGCTTTTAGATGATGTACTAGCGTATATTACCTTTTATCTTGCCCCATTTTTCCCTCCAATGTTTTTCCTTCAATTTGACTGATTTTCGAAGAAGTTGAACCAGGTCATAAAACGGGGCACTTAGATGTGTGTTTATATTTGCTTCTAGATGATGTACTAGCATATAGACGTGACCTACCTTTTATCTTGGCCTATCTTTCCCTCTACATTTTCCCTTCAATTTGATTGATTTTTGAAGAAGCTGAACCAGGTATTAAAATTGGGCATTTAGATGTGTGTTTATATTTGATTCTAGATGATGCACTAGCATACGGATGTGACCTACTATGTTTTATCTCGGCGTCTCTCCCCTCCACATTCTCCTTCAATTTAATTGATTCTCAAATTTGTGTCTCCTATTGGCAGTCATTTAATTCAAGCTCTTGAAGTTCAGATCCTATTCTATGAATTTTTTATTATTTGATTGTATAATAATTTCTGCAGATTTTAGTGCAACATATCCAGGCAATTCTACCTGGTTTGAAGTCACGCATAAGCTCTGCACTAGTTTCAGCTGCCAAGGAGCATGGCAGTTATGGAGAAATCACGGAGTCAAAGGTGTATTTGATTGCTAAAAAATATTTTTATGGTTGTGATATTTTACGGTAAAAAAGTATTACTTGTTGTTTGGGGTTCTTTTGTTTCTTATCCACAATGAATTACTGAAGGTCTGACATTGTATTTTGAATCTTATTAAGTGTCCCTAGTGTTATTGATGTTAATGCATGCAATTCTTGAGCAAACTTACTCTATCGTCCATTGCCTTTTTCTCTGACAACTTTGTCTTCCTGTATCAAAGAAAACTAAAGTCTCCCTGGCTTCTGTTCTGTTTTCGTGATTGCAATTTTAGTTAGTTAAAAATTCAATCTGCTTGCGTTGGCTAATGTTTCATAATTTTCAACTTCTTGTTATTATTAGGCTGGTCAAGGTGCTCTTCTTCTGAACATTTTATCAAAATATTGTGAAGGTATGCGTGATGTCACTTGCTTTTCTTTCCTTTCCACGTGGAACCATGCAAACTGAGCTGTGTTATTTACAATTCTAGCTACTTTCTGGTTTAGAAGTTTTGAACCATATGCATGTTATTCGAAACAGCATTTTCATCAATGGTTGATGGGAAGAATGAAGAAATGTCAACATCTGAGCTCTCGGGTGGAACTCGTATTCACTATATTTTTCAATCAATCTTTGTGAAGAGTTTAGAGGTACACGTGGCTTCATTTTCATAGTAGTTAAGTTCCATGGTTTGAGTCCCCACCAGTGATTTTTCATAAATAATCAAAACAAAACCATCAGACTCGTACTTAATTGTAGTGTACCATTCCTTTTTTGGTTCATTTGATTGGATGAGCTGATTGCTTCTGCCGTCACTGACACTTTCACAAGGTAAACCTAATAATAATTTTACTTGCTGAGAAAATTGAAGAAGATAAAAGTTGATAATGATTTCAAATCTACATAGCTGCAAGTCTTGAAAATAACTCCCCTCTCCTCCTCTGATAGCTTGTCAAAGTAGTTCCTACGATAAAATAATATATAGTTGTCTTACTGAAAACTGAGTTTGCTAGGAAGTTATATTCAATGAATTTGAAGAATTTGAAAGAAAAATAGAGGCTTGAGATTCCAGTCATAAATAGGAGAACATATTCCATGGTTTGAGTTCCCACCAGTGATTTTTCATGGAATAATTAAACCAAAACCATCGGACACATACTTAATCATAGTGTACCATTCCTTTGTTGGTTCATGTGATTGGGTGAACTTCTGGCTACTGCTGTGACTGACATTTTTACAAGGCAAACCTAATAATGAATTTACTTGTTGAGAAAATCGAAGAAGGTAAAAGATGATAATGATTTTAAATCTATATAGTTGCAAGTTTTGTAGTTAACTTCCCTCTCCAATGATAACTTGTGAAGAGTAGTTCCTATGAATATCTAGTTGTCGTATTAAAAACTGAGTTTGTTAGGAAAATACATCCAATGAACTTGAAGAATTTAAATGAAAAGTAGAGGCTCGAGATTCCATGCAATGAAATCTCAAAAGATTCCTCAAGTATCATTGAAGGGTTGCCTTCTTATTCTCTAGGGTAAAAAAGGACTAAAAAGTGGTGAATTTGAATTTCAACTAGTATACTTTTTCTAGGTTGTTTGTTCACAACAATTGGAAGGAGATTAAAGATGCTTTGGAAGATCATTAAGGACTTAGTTTTGATTAACCCTTTCATGGTAGAGAAGGCTTTACAAAATTTCAAGGATGGAAATTCTTTAAAGGCTCTTGAATCTGAAAGAAAATGGAGATTTTTGGGTGGTTTTTATTTGCTTATTGAAAAGTGGTTTCGTGTAAAGCATCCAAATTTTATTGAAGTTTAGGATGGGCGAATCTCCCACAAGAACTTGCCTGTGCCCTATTGGGATCTCAATATGTTGGTTGTACTAATGCTCGTACAGAAGTCGAGAGGAATTTGCGTGGCTTTCTTCTAGCTACAATTGAAATCAAGGATAAGAAAAGGGGGAATATGCTTATTAGACTTGGTGATGTTGCCCTTTCCTCGAAAGTATTTTCCAATTCTCTCCTGATATCGTTTCCACTAAGTGATGGAAGGTGCTATATCTAAATGAGACATGAAATACATTTTAGAGGGAAGATCTTTGGAAGCCCATTGATCTTAAACACTAATAAAGTGGGAGAATTACCTCCTGTGCCTCTTCTGGGGCGCGGGGGGCGGGGAATCTAACTCATTTGAATTCTTTTGAAATCCAAACATATTTTATATCCATCTTTTGAATGCCAAACTAGATGTCGTAGATTGGAAAGATTAATGAAGTAACATATCTGATGTCCCTCATTACTCTACCTCCTAGATGCAACAATTAAAATAACTGAGTGAACAAAACAAGAAACGTTTATTTGTCTGCAGATCGTTTGTTTGTATTTTATGTGGTTTTGCAGTGGATGGATTACTGAAGTAGGCAGATTTTTAAATGCGTACATTTTTACTTTCTCAGTTCTTTCATCCTGGTTTAGTTGTATTTCTTCGCTATTTCTTCATGCAATTAATGTTGTCAGAGTAGTGGGGGAGTGATAATTCTCACTGATACGAGGAAATGTTATTTGGCAGGAAGTGGATCCTTGTGAGGACTTGACTGATGATGACATCCGAACTGCTATCCAGAATGCAACTGGTCCTAAATGTGCTTTATTTGTGCCTGAAGTAGGTTATGTTATCGTTTGTTTTCCACTCCTATATTGCTCATAATTATCATTCTACTCTTCGTTTTTATAATCTAAATTAAGAACTCATCATTGTATGTGCATGTTTTCAAGCTCTTCTAGTTCTTTTTACGTTAGGTGTCTCCCACCCAATAAGGTTTTGTACCTTGTCATTGAATATATAAGGAATACGAAAGAGGGGACAAACCCGTGTAGAGTCAAATGAGCTAGCAAAAAAGAGCGCTAATTCAACTTTGATACATAAATTACAATTACAATAGAATTGTGAGACAGTGTACCTTGAAACAAATCTCATTGTCCCAGACTTCTTTCCACTCTCTGAAGTCATTTTGAAATGGTTACTCCACACTCGATAGATTTTAGCCATAACATATTATGGACAAGGCTTATCACATCTCATGTCGATCTGATCTTTCAATATGTATAGGTTCCTTTTGAAGTTCTTATTCGCAAGCAAATAGCTCGGTTATTAGATCCAAGCCTTCAGTGTGCAAGGTTCATATATGATGAACTAATTAAGGTAGGATTTTTTTTCTTTTCTTTTTGCGGCCTTTTTTACATACTTGTCTTATTCCTTTCTTATAGTTTCTTAATATTTCGTTGACCTCTCTTCAGATTAGCCATCGTTGTGTAGTAAGTGAACTACAAAGATTTCCTGTTTTAAGAAGGCGCATGGATGAAGTTATGAGCAATTTTTTGCGAGAAGGTCTTGAGCCTTCAGAGACTATGATTGGGCATATTATCGATATGGAGGTATGTCATCTACGTTTGATTTTGTGGTGATACATTCACGAGCACAAAATCATATTGATGTTATTTTGGTTAACCACACAACACAATGACTGAAATATTTTTGTTAATTTGGAAAATATGGGGTAGTATGACTATTGATCTACTTGAAATATGGATTTTGTGGCACATTATCTGTTGGATAAAACTTTACCAATCACTATTTTTATGGAATAACATAGTAGAGGTCAGAAATATTATTTGCGTCGAAGTTATGTTGGCCATCATCGTTTTTCCATTGGGGTGGTAATTTGGATTTCCATATGCAAGGGAGTCGGTCAAGTAGTTTCATGGATTCTTGGGTCACTTCAGGATTTTGTTTACTGCTAAAGAGCAGACTCTACTTGGCTCTCATCCATAAATTATTACCCTAGAAAATACAGTGAAATGTTCTCAAATCATTTAATATCAATAATGAAATTTTTTTGTGTGATTTTTCTTTTGTTTTCCTTGGCTTTTATGCGCCAATATATAAGAACCTGTCTTAATAGTTTTTTTATTTACCAGCTTCGGTCCTTTATTCTTATAAAATATTTGACCTTGAATATCATGTCGTATTTGTATTGTAGATGAACTACATAAACACTTCACACCCAAATTTTATTGGTGGGAGCAAGGCAGTTGAGATTGCAATGCAACAAGTCAAATCCTCTAGGGTTTCCTTGCCTATCTCCAGACAGAAGGTAAAGGCGATGAATGGTTTTCTTTTCCTCTTTTTATTTTTTTAAGAATATAAAAACTGCTATCTTTAAGAAAAACTTTACTTTTGAGGAATCTTGCATCTGTGATATTTTTGGACTATTATTTTAATGTGATATTTTTGGACTAGACATTTGTCTCTCTTAGCAAAGTGGGGATGGCGCTTCATGCATGAATCTCTTTTACTTTGTAGGGAATTTATTGCCAGCATTCATGGTTCTTGTAATTTTGATTGGAACTCCAGTAACAGAAATAATTTTAGCCTTTGAAATCCGTGGTTGAGTATTCATAAAACATGGAAAGGCTTTGACTCCTTTGCTCACTATAGTTTTGGAAATAACAGAAGAATTCATTTTTTGGCTGATCCTGTGGCTTAATGATTCTCCCTTAAAGCTCAGTTTTCCTCCCTTCCCATCTCCTCTTCTCCAAGCGGTTCTGTTTCTGCTTTTTGGGATGAAGGCACTTGTACTTGGAACATTTCTTTTCGCAGATACTTTTTTTTGAAGTCATTATCTTGCCATATGGCCTCTTCATCCCGTTTGGAAAAAGATATGTTCATTGCTCTATGGAAGTCTAAAAGTCCTAAGAGAATCAATGTTCTTCTACGGATTATTCTCAATGTAAGTCTAAATGCGTCTGAAGCTTTGCAAAGGAAGATGCCTTCAAATTATATCATGCTTTTGGTTTGTTCCCTTTTTTTGTATCGGATGGTGATACTTTCAACCACATATTTTCCACGTGCCCCTAAAGCCAGATTTTGTGTTTGTTCAAGCTGTTCTCGTTCTTCAATATTCAGTGTTGGGGGGGGGGGGGGGGGGGNTTCAGTTATACAGTTACGTTGCTTTGGGTAAACACAGTAAAAGCTCCCTTATCAAGCAATGCTTTTAATTGCTGGCCCATTGTTCAGTTATACAGTTACGTTGCTTTGGGTAAACACAGTAAAAGCTCCCTTATCAAGCAATGCTTTTAATTGCTGGCCCATTGTTCAGTTATACAGTTACGTTGCTTTGGGTAAACACAGTAAAAGCTCCCTTATCAAGCAATGCTTTTAATTGCTGGCCCATTGTTCAGTTATACAGTTACGTTGCTTTGGGTAAACACAGTAAAAGCTCCCTTATCAAGCAATGCTTTTAATTGCTGGCCCATTGTTCAGTTATACAGTTACGTTGCTTTGGGTAAACACAGTAAAAGCTCCCTTATCAAGCAATGCTTTTAATTGCTGGCCCATTGTTCAGTTATACAGTTACGTTGCTTTGGGTAAACACAGTAAAAGCTCCCTTATCAAGCAATGCTTTTAATTGCTGGCCCATTGTTCAGTTATACAGTTACGTTGCTTTGGGTAAACACAGTAAAAGCTCCCTTATCAAGCAATGCTTTTAATTGCTGGCCCATTGTTCAGTTATACAGTTACGTTGCTTTGGGTAAACACAGTAAAAGCTCCCTTATCAAGCAATGCTTTTAATTGCTGGCCCATTGTTCAGTTATACAGTTACGTTGCTTTGGGTAAACACAGTAAAAGCTCCCTTATCAAGCAATGCTTTTAATTGCTGGCCCATTGTTCAGTTATACAGTTACGTTGCTTTGGGTAAACACAGTAAAAGCTCCCTTATCAAGCAATGCTTTTAATTGCTGGCCCATTGTTCAGTTATACAGTTACGTTGCTTTGGGTAAACACAGTAAAAGCTCCCTTATCAAGCAATGCTTTTAATTGCTGGCCCATTGTTCAGTTCTACAGTTACGTTGCTTTGGGTAAACACAGTAAAAGCTCCCTTATCAGAACTTTTGTTGGAAAGACTTCCAAGATCCTTCCATGATAACATCTCCCAAGGATTGATCGTTTTGAATCACCTTGTCTGAAAGCCTCCTCTTGGTGCTCTCCCTCAAAACTATATGTTGGTTTCTCACTGCAGGACATTTGTCTTAATTAGAATTCATTTATTTATTCCGTGTAGTTCTTTTGTTTATTCTCTAGTATTGTTTTGGTTTATACTATGTTTGTATTATGTATTTTGTTTCATATTTTACTCCCTTGTGGAGTTTTTATCCTTGAGCACTAGTCTCTTTTCATTTCTTTAATGAAAAGTTTCATTCATGCTAAAAAAGATTTGGATGATTATTCTTTTGTAGTCCTTTGGGCTAAGGTGTCCTTTACCCCTGGCCCCTAGGCTGTTTTGTGATTTGCTCTCTTTTGCATAGTCTCTTGTTACCTATAAAAAAAACGTTGCATATTTTTTTTCCAAACTAGTTCTTCATTAATGTTTAATACTATATTTTATGTTGATTAGGATAATATAGAGCTTGATAAGGCAACAACCACATCAGAGAGAAGTTTGAAAACTCGTGGGATTCTGGCAAGGCAAGTAAACGGGATAGTAGCTGATCAGGTAGCGAATATTGTAACCTAGTAGGGAGAATGTATTTCAATAATTTTCCTGATTACTTGTGTTGCCATTGTTTTTCTGTTTAAATGTTATGATTGTTAAACTCAGAATTTATTATCCAGTGTTCTTATCACATTCTTACACTATTTTTTGTATGATTAACAGGCTGTTCGTCCATTGGCAGAAGGTGAAAAAGTTACTTTGTCTGGTAATATTACTATTATTCTATGAACGAAATGTGTAAAAGAATATGACTTGAACATTTATTTTGGGATTGGAAACAGAGAATTATATTAAAAAAGAGCTAATATGAAATGAGGGGAAATTAGATACCCCTAAAAGACCAATGGGTTGCAAAAAGTACTCTTAATTGGAAAAAAATATGAAAAAAAGAAAACACAAAAATATAAGATCTCATAATTAAAAAAGAAAGGAGACACTAAGATGAGGAGAGAAGTTTCACAAGATCCCAAAGAGTAGCATACACTGCATTACACCAAATAGTTTAGCCTGTCCACTGAGATGAGGCCCGAGTAACCGTTGGAGTATTATACTTAAGAAGGTCTTTCGGAAGCACCAGCTCATTCCAAAACATAAACGAAGCTTGAATTTATTTGGTACACCAAATTGATTTGGGTTCTTGCCTTTTGGTCCCTTAGTCTGCTTTGTGGTTTTCCAAAGAGGGTGTTTCCGAGCTCATTTCCGGTTTTCATTCTTCTTCTGATGCCATTACTAGAGTTTCTTGGCATGCTGCAGTGAACTCTCTCTTGTCAATTTTTTAGTTTGATGCGTTGCTCCTTTGGCTTGTTCATTTTGGTTTGTATCTTCTCATTGCTCCTTTTGGATGAATTAGAGCAGGGGCTAAAGGCAGTCCCAGAAATTCTTTGAAAGACTTAACTGTGGGGTTTCCATTCTTTTCTCAATTTGTCTAGTCTTTGGTGGGTTATGGGAGAGATTCTTTTTTTTCTGGGAGAAAAACTGGTTGGGGATAGGCCGTTATCCTGGTTCCCTCATTTATCACTTATCCTTAATGAGGAATATCTCAGTGGGTGAGGTATTGCCTAATTCTCTGTTTTTTCCTTCGCCCATTTTGGTGTTTCGATGTGCTTTGTCCATTAGGTAAACGTCAAATGTTATTGACTCATTTTGTTGATTTGGGAGTTTTGTTTAAGTTCGAGGAGAAGGGATGTTCATCAAAACCAACCACAAGGCAGCAAACTGTGAAGAAAGAGAACCCGCAACAACTGAGCCAACAAGAACTTCCTTAAACTTCTCTTTAGTGCTTTCTTTCCAACTCTTTTTTGGTCCTGCTCAAAGAAATATATATATATATATATATAGATAGATAGATAGATAGATAGATGGATAGATAGATATGGTGAAAATATCCAACCATCAATTTATTCAAAATAGCTGATTCTATGTTTGTTAAACAAGAGTACTCTTATTGATGTGCATTAGCTGCATAATGGCCTGATCGATTGATCTTTTAACTACTTTCTGCATTTTTCTCATTAGCATGTATGAATTTCTCTCATTAGTATATATGAATTTCTCTCATTAACGTGAATGATTGCATCCTTCTGTAACTTACCAGGAGGCGCAGGGAGTTCCAGTTGGGGGATTTCATCTATTTTTGGCAGTAATAGCAGTGATAACCATAGTCCTGTTAAAGAAAATTCATCAAAAAAATCATTTGGCGAGCCTTTGCATAGTGTGGAACAATCTTTCTCAATGATCCACTTGAGAGAGGTCAGTCGTAATACCATAATCAAGTCTAATGATTTTTATCTGTCTGCCTTACTTGATTTAACCTGGCTAACACGTTTTGTGTTGTTTTAGCCACCAGCTGTCTTGAGGCCCTCAGAAAGCCTTACGGAGCAGGAGGCTATTGAAATTGCTATAACTAAACTGCTATTGAGATCCTACTATGATATTGTTAGGAAGAATATAGAGGACTATGTACCCAAGGCCATCATGAACTTCCTGGTATGTTAAAATCTTTATTAATACTACCAGATCGTATCATATATTTCTTAAATTAAGTACCAGAAGCCATGAAAAACCGAACTGTTTGCTTTCTTGTTATAAATTCATTAAATGCAACTCTTTGATCTTATTTCTTGAACAAAGAATTGTGTCCCATGAATCAAGTTGATAATAGACGTGTATATTATTGTTAAGTTTAGGGTTTAATAGATAGGTTTTATCAAGTACGGTCTCAGAGCCGCAGGAGGCATTAATTGTGGGGAGGAAAATCTTGGATCACATCCTTGTTGCCAACGAGGCAGTTGAGGACTAGACTTGTGAGTTGAGATCGTGGATTTAGAATTACATTTAGTTATGCTCTTCTGATTGATGGATATGCCCTTCGGAGTGGATAAGAGGGGGCCATTGAAGGGTTTCTAGTGGGTAGGATAGACTCCATCTTTAGTTTTCTGACTATACGATCTTTTTTTGCTTGTTAAGGAGTTCATTGTTAACGTTAACCATATTCTCACTTTTTTCGAGATCATGCCCTGTTATCAAGCAAGAGCCTAGTCATAGGCATCAATTACGAGTCCGTGAAGATTAGCTGGTAGGGCTCCTTAAGTGGTTGTGATGTGGATACTTTACCTATCTTTAGGAGTGCCTTTGGGTCATAACCCCAAACTGGCCTTGTCTTGGAACTCTGTTCTGGATATGGTCCAATAGCTTTTGGTTTCTTGGAAAAATGCATTCTTTTCCAAGGGAGGTAGATGGACTCTTATTCAGTTTGTTTTGTGTAGTATCCCGATCTAATATCTCTATATGAATTTAGAATTTCTGTTTTGTCAGATTTTATGAGTACGTAAGGGATATATTGAAAGTAAGGGCGTATTGGGGTTAGGGGTGACTTTAAGGAGTCATGTTGATGAAAATATGGTATGTGGTGTTGTACCAATACTCTGCCCACAGTAGCCAGACACCCCATTCGCGAGGATGCTGACCACAAAAAACAGTGCAAACATGTTTCAAAAGACTTGTTTTCGATCTCTGACTGTCCATCTGTTTGTTGGTGGAATGTTGTTTTACGTTGGAGCTGAGTCCCCTGTAATTGAAATATCTCCATCCAAAAATGGCTCACATAAATTTTTTCTCTATCTGAAATGACTGATCGAGAAAAACCGTGTAGTCGAACCACTTCCTTAAAATGCTTGCGACTTCTTTACCACCAAAATTGCATCAAAGCGGCAGAATTTAGGAGCTCTTCAATGAAGTCCATAGCCCCATCTTTAGACTTGATCAGGAATTTGAAGGGGCTAAAGAAGGCCCATCACTGATGTCACTGCCTCTGTCTTGTTCCTTTGCCAGATTAGGCACTTTTTAACATCATTCCCTAGTCAGCTTTTAATAGGTTTATTAAAACCATGGGTGCCCACCTAACACTGAGTCGTGGAAATGTGATGGATGGAAGGCAGAAGTCTGAGAGTTGTAAGGGGGGTAGTGGAGACTAAGCTTATTTTCTCTGGCAGTGTCCTCTTGTTTATATCTGGTGGCAACTTGACAGATATGTGGACTTAGTTGAGCTTCAAGCTTAATTAAAGAGCTCATGGAGGAGGTTCTTAAGTTTGCAGACGGTGTGGATCCCATTGTAGGTTGGATTTGGTATGTAGTCTTTGGATTTTCAAATGAATCGAAGCACAAGTTTATGAGACAACTGATAATCTAACTTAGCAGCCCTACAATCCAACCAATGAACTTGCAATAGGTATACTTACCCCTTCAAAATGGCATTCACTTTTGAGCATGCCCGAGTGGGTAAACTCGAATTCGTCAGGAGCATAGTTGATTAGACAAGTTAATGACATGTTTTGCCGTACTTTACCTACCTAGTGATATATATATTTACATTCTGCCTATTTTTGTTCTTGTTCTTTGGTTCCAGTCTAAGAACATGCTGTCTTAACTAAATATAGTCATATTTATTGCTTATGTTTTGGTTGGTTTGATTCAGGTAAACCATACCAAACGAGATCTGCACAATGTATTCATCAAAAAACTCTACCGGTACGTATCTTTCTTTTATTAAATCTATTGATGCTCCTGATCTTGTTTCTTTAGAACTTCCTGAAGAGATGTTTTTTTTTTTTTTTTTGG